CAGTATCAGTAGAGTGGACACTACATGTCGCCACGTATACACAACTAGTGTACTTCTCTAGTATGTCTGTGATATGCTTATCAACATTCGCTTTGGCAAACAAGCAAAACATATCATTTAAGTCAACCCATCACTACTAAGGAAAACTCCAATGAAATTTAACCTCCAATTGGTATAAGTGTACATTTCGCTTTGGCAGACAAGGTTCTAACGAATAGTGGTTTAATTAAACCCATAGTGATGGAAGGTGTACATATGATTTAATATACTTTATTTGAGGGTTTTATTTTACGTCTCACAAGTTTTATCTTTATTAGCATGTTATAGTCATAACATACACTCTGAGAATGCATTCTAAGCATTTAAGGAAACGTGTCGATACATGCCCTAACTAAAATCGATTTCCTCGAGCCTAGAGGAATCGTTGGGTCACCTGGGGATCCTATAATAAATATCTTGAGTCTTCAAGTATGATCGTTTCGTCCTTACTCCATCTTCAAGTACATTACAAAATACATCATACTAAATTTACAGTAAAATTAATTCTACACTAATTTTACATCAATAAATTTAGAAACCTCGAGTTACATTCGAGGGGAATAAGATGAGAAGAGAATGGATATCGAGAAGGGAGGAGAAAGACAAGGCATGCAGGCCCTATTTAAAATATTTACAATTAGACATACAAAAAAAAAAAAAAAATTTAAAACATTCACCATAGGTTTAAGGCTCATGTACTGGGCACCATGCAATATTTCAAAAAGAATTATTGCATACATTCAAAACAATCAATTTTGAATTTGGTGGGTTGATTTATAAAATTACCCTCCTGAATTTGCAGAATTACATATTGGTCTAGCATTGTAAAACTGCTACAGTAGCATTCATGTCGCAACATAGTTTTATTATGTCATAACGCGACGCAGGAACGAATATGCGCCGCAGCAAAGTTTTATTTCGCTGAGGTGCAAATCCAGCAACTCGCGCTCTGACAATGTGTTCACGTCGTGATGTAGTTTTATTACGCTGTGGTGAGATCATGCAATTTTACGATTTGACACTCTACTTCGTCATTTTCACACCACGACATAGTTTATTACGTTGCAGCCCAAATCGCACGTTGTACGATTTATGATGCTTTCACGCTACGGTGAAGTTTTATTTCGTTGTGGCTCAAATCGCGCAATTTCATGATCACATAACGTAATCAAGCCGTAGTGAAGTTTTATTTTGCCGCGGCCTATTTACGCATTCCAATCGCTCAACATACTCCGCAATCATGTTGTGGTGAAGTTTTATTTCGTTGCACCCTGTTTACGTATTCCAGGCTTATAAAGCTCGACGCCGCGACGCAAATCACAATTCTAGAACATTGTTCATGCTCACATAATACAAAATCGATCCAATGCAAAATTCGTCAACAAACCCAGTTTATATATTAATCAATTTAAGCAATTTTAACATATTGAAAAACCTAAACATGTATTTTCTAACTATCAATTTAGGCAGTCAATCAAAACAATATAATTAAAATATATACAATCAAAACCCTAGGCTCTAATACCACTGTTAGTAATCGACGAATGATGGCAGTGGAAAAACAAAATTTTTCGCTCATCGATTACTTGAATATGCCAAGATCAGGTCTAATATATATAGGTGTATATATATATATATATTATATATTATATATATATATATATATATATAATATATATATATATATATATAATATAATAATATATTATATAATTATATTTACATGCTTAAATTGAAATAGTGAAAATCCATACAAAGATTCGATTATACCTGCGATTGGAGGCTCCGTCAATGTCTTTGAATGTGATTCGTGCTGATTCGAGAATGAAATCGAACTGACGTCGTCCAGACGAAGACAGTACACCAATTACTAAGAATTAATTTTGCTAGAATTAATTCTTGGCTTTAAGGAGTACAAGAAGCTTGGAAGAAAGTGAATTGAGAAGAAGAGAAAAATTCTTCTCTCAAAATACACTCCACGACTCAATAATGAATTAGGTTGAGAAAACCTAATTTTTCTTTACTTATATAATAAAGTAAAATATCCATTCCACCCCTCAAGTTTAGCATCAACCCAACGTTAGGTAGAATTGCATGTTAACCCAACTTAATTATTTAGTTAAATATTTATTTTAACTCTAATAATTAAATTTATAATTTTGCTAAATTATTCGTATAATAAAATTGGACATAGGCTACAACCTCAGTAAATTTAATTACACAGCAAAATTACCAATATGCCTATTCATCTAAAAGACGAATATTCCATTCTAAAAAGTTATCATCCTTAAACTGTCTTCTAAGTTTGTGACTTATAGGCTTATTATCATATCGATAGTGAATAGTATCGCGATTGACACCAATCAATTGTCTCACTATACACAGACCAAGGTTAGCCTCTAATAAGGCATCATGGCCACCCGATAAATTCGGATTCAGCGAACTAACTATCTATCAACGATATGGTTACCATGCAATCAAATCCTTTTATCATACGTTATCTCATCGAGGCTGAGGTACTTAAATAGTGTCAACCTCAGTTATCCTCGATATGTTTGTATTCAGTTACTGGACCATGATCGGAATAATAAGTTGGATTAAGCAACAACTCAATCCCACTGTGGCCACAGATTTAGTGTCATTGTCATTTACTGAATTGCGCATGAGATAACTTCTCCTGTACCCGACAGTGATGAATCCTTTGTCAATCCACCATAGTCTTGATACACTCCTTGATGTAGTCAATCACTACTGTATTTATAGCTCTTAATAGAATTATGTTGGGCTAGTGTCAAACTACACTAATCGATGCAAAAGACGCTTCGATGATCTCAAGTCTAAGGATCACATGCACCACTATTCGTTAGAGGATTTATTCCATAGACACTAGGATTACCATCCATATGGAATCCTCTGCTGGGTCTGTTCAGTAAACTTGCCTACAGCAAGCACCTATGTGTTGCACTAGGTTGTCGACAAACAACCTTGACAAGTGAGATTAGTCACTATCTTTCAACAGGTTCGTTCAACACTATGATAGTTTTACCATATTATCTGTGTCTTTGGTTAGAATAACACTGGGGCTACAAATATTTCTAGAATGGTCACCATATGTGATCATAGGGTTCTCACTATCAAGATTTGAAACACTTGATACCCTCGTCACAATTTTACTATCCTAAGGACATATATCAATGCATATAATTATGATTTACACGATATAATAGAAATTGTTTTTTTATTGATTAATAAACATTATTACAAAAAGTCAATTCTACAATAATTGATTGGCTTTAAAGCACCTACCCTAAAACGGGAGTGTTTTTAAATAAATGCACATCCCTAACCACTAACCCACATCACTAATCACTAACCCACATTAACAAAGTTCCTAAATAATAGGTTAGGAACTACTGCATAAATAAAACAAACGTTAGAAACAGTAACATGCTCAACATAAACTAAATAGAAAAATAAACTTTTGACATTACGAGGTGTTGGATTATGTGAAAATTTGCCCCCTGTTTGGTACACTTTTCAAACTTTATCATATTCTACTATCATATCCTACTATCCTATCCAATCCAGTTAAAAACGTGTTTGTTTTAATATTGACTATTCAATTCAAAATCCAATCATGTTTTATTTAACTCAAAACAGTTAACAATTACCTATTCCAATAAAAAATTATAAGTTAACAAAAACACCCACACCCACCCAACTAATTGTCGGCAGTTGGCCACCACCGTCGAACGGTGGCCGGAAGTCGTCAAAATGGTGTACGACTGATTTGATCTTGTTGGTCGTGTGTTGATGTGGCCGAAAATGGTTAGGTCAGCGGCTAGATCTTTGGCCGTGGTTCTAATCGGAATAGGCCAGATCGGTGCACGATCGGTTAGATCCAGTCGATCATGTGCCATTCCCGCGACTTCGGCCACCATTCAGCGATAGTGGTCGGCTGCCGACAATTAGTTGTTTGGGTGAGGGTATTTTTGTTAATTTATAAACTTTTCTTTGGGGGTTAAAAATAATCTAAATATTTTCAGAAAATGTTATCCCAAAATGTACCAAACACATTTTCAGAATCTCATCCTATTTGATTAAATCATATCCTATCCTATTCATAATAGAATACAATTCTAAAAAGTTAAACAAATGGACCTTGATTTTTGAAGTATTCGGAGATGGTTTGTGACGTGAATATGAAAGAAGGGAATTGTAGTAGGCGAAGAAGAGGCTCTGAATGAAATGAAAGAAGGGAATTGTAGTAGGCGAAGAAGAGGCTGTGAATGAAATGAAAGAAGTGAAGAAGAGGGTGTGGTGATTGAGACTTTGGATGTTGGTGATTACTTTTACTGATTTTATAAATTTGGGGGTTAAGAAGTAATTTTTTAATTTACTTAATATTATAATAAAGATTTACAAGGATAAAAATGGTATTTAAGCAGTCAAAGCTTGTCAAACAAACACTGACGGAGACTAATGCTGGGTGGGAATTTGATGGTTTTTTATTCAAGGATGGTGAAGTGTGGTCGGCCAAACTCCGGTGGGAAAAATGAATTTCTGTTCGGCCTACTTTTGTTTCGTTTACCCAATTTATGACGAGTTTATAAAATAAACCTGAAATTATATTAAATTCAATCCATTGGGGTTTGTATTCCCAATAATATAATTTTCTACCATAAAACATAAAGTAACTTTTTCCTTTCCCCAAAACACTAAAACCACCTTCCTTTTAACCCTCTTTTGCCTTCGATAAAAGCAGCAACAAGCGACAGCATGGGGTAACAAGACAGAAAGGAATGAAACAAAAAAGAGGATTTTCAAGTCAGCATTCTATTTTAAGAAAAAATTATAAATCAATCTAGAGATTTTACAGAAGACCTTAGGACATCAATGAATCTAATCTATAAATTGAGAAGCTCCGCAACAATGGCACCCTTGGTCCTCACTAAATGAAATTTAAACAAAAAAAAATAGTATACATTGATATCAAAATGTTCATACAGGCTGTACACCTCTAATCTTGTATAGAACTTGATTACAAGGTGTGGTTTAGCAATTTCGACACCGGCATTAACTTTAAAACTATTATGTAAAGTTTATTCTAATGACTAAAACAAAATCATATTCTCTAACCCCAGAGATGTATATTGAGATCCAAGAAAGGGAAGAACCCTAATCATATTTTGAAGGGAAGCCAAAAAAAATCAGCCAGAAGCTCTTTGTCTCATCCATTTTGTAGCTGACCACTTCTCTCCGGAAATAACCTCACATCCTCCATGCATGCTATTTGGATCCGACTGTCCGTCTAATCCCTAAAATAGCCAAACAAAGACAATTAGGGACAACTTTCATTACATCATATTAAGTCCAATTAGGGGCATGCTCCACACGTTGAAGGACTTCTTATAAGGGAACTCAAATGAAAAAGACCACCATGCAAGTAATTAACTATGATATTATTTTGTACCACAAAAGTCTTAAGAACAAGCAAAAGATCACACCATGGTAATTGGCACTTTACAAAATTTCAGGAAAGACAAACAATAGACAAGTGTCACAACATGCTCAAGATTCTTATTTTTAAGTGACTGAAAGAATCACACAACTATCCTATAAAAAGTTCTGAATCCTGACATTTCTCGGAGTAACCTCATAAAGAAAGGTTTAGAGCAGAAAATGCAATGAACAAATCAAATAAGAAGGTTTACTAATCACTAATTGCACACTCTGGAATTGAAATGATAATTATAACAGAGTATCCATTGCAACATTGGCAAAGCAAATAAACAGGATCAGATGCATGCTCTCCAACTGAAACGAAAACTTACAACAAATTATAAGTTCTTTTATTTCTCCAGAGGAGCTAGTAGCCAGATAATGTGCGAAGTGAGAGAGAGAATAGTCAATGGGGTTGCATTGTAAAATATAAATACTTGATTGGCCTACTTTTCTATACATCAAGTTGCTAATGAAACGACGGGAAAAGGATTTAAAAAAAATATAATAACAACTTGAAGACAATCAATTGCCAAAGCAACAAGAGAACAAATACGATTGTAAAAAAATAATAATTTATATTCACTAAAAAGAATGAAAATACGCAGTCAAAAGAGAACAAACCATGCTCCAAAAAAGCACCGCATCTCCTTTTATTGGTTTTACAGACAACCCTTTCACAGTCTTCCCACCACAGCTACACTCACCTGAGCCAGCCTGACATAACCAGTGATAAAATGTAGTTTTAATCATGCAAATGAAAAGAACTGACAGAAAATTAACAAAAAGAATTGACAGAAAATTAACATGTTATCACCCAACATTATATATACACAATGTAATGGATAGAACACCACCATATTAACGCAAGAATTTAACGAAGACGAAAGAAACTCAAATTTATGTCATCATATCTTTTCCTTTTCTTAAACACCACTGAAATCACAGATGATTCAGCATTGCTGAACCCTTCATCATCCAAACCCTGATTGTTTCTAATTTCATAACAAGAAAGCAATAATGGACTTTATGCAGTCTGTTAGATGCCAAATGGGTTACCAGCATGCATTGGCTAAAGCTTCGTCAATGCCTCAATTTTCTGATACATCCTATACCACACATTGGAATTCTCAGCAAACTCATTGAAATAGGGATTAGTTGTGCATACGTATGCGCAATAGCAAAAATTTAGTCTTTGTGTTAAACCTAAGTTCATACATCTAAAATAATAAAACAGAGGATAAGCATCACATTCTAGAGTCATTACCATTGGGAAATAAGTTTCTCCCCCTTCAACATTGTCACTCAGATACATGAGCATTGTGGCTATCCGCTGACCACCGCGCTTCAAATTGTACTGCCAAAGATTAAGGTGGAAGAAAATAAAAAAGCATTGAGAACAAGATATCGTGTGAGCAGGAATATGATGACCCTATTAACAGGAACTAGTTTAATGGAAATAATATCAACAATTTAAAGAAGAAAACCAAAAACTTACAGTATCTGCAAAGTAGTCATGATGAGGTTTGTAATACTGATCTTTCTCGTACCTGTGCTGCTGCAGATGTTAGCCTTGATACTGAAACGTATCAGTTTTCCAGCCCATTAACAAATACTTTACATTAAATAACTCAGATACCCACCTTAATACTTGGATGAGCTCCCCATTTTCAATTGGTACTTGAGAAAAGACAGAAATACGTTTTTCAATTGCCTGTCTATGCCAAGAGACAGAGAGATACAGAAAGAAAAGAGCTTAGGGCAGAATTTTACAACTGTAACAACCAAAAGCAAAGCTAAAAGCCTCAAATAATATAAATAATACAACATTAAAGTAATTACATGCATTGTTGAAAAGGACAACACATGATTAAAAATCTCTAAAAGTGGAACAAGCAAAGAACATAAGCCGATCAATACTTTTTTAAATTCTTAACAGCTTCAGGATTCAGACAAGAACAAACCTGTATCATTGGGTACTTTTTCTCTTCAGGACTCAGAAACATTCCAGAGCTCGTCCTTACATTACTCTTGATTCCCTGAAAAGAAGAACTTAAATAAGGTTAATGTACTGAAGCATCTGTGAAAGTAAAAGAAACTAATAAATTTGGAAATATAAACACCTATTTCCTATTTAAAAGACTACCAAATTTCGAAAGATAAACACGTCTTCCATATGTCAAAGTCTAGCAAATTTGGTAAGTTAAACCCATCTTTCATATGGGAAACCCTACCAAACTTGGAAAGACAAGGACATTCTTCAAATAAGAAACTCTACTAGGATTGAATAGTAAATAAAATGTTGACAAAAAACGAGTCAATATCTATGACCAAAATGATGAATTGTCTTCATGATAACTTATGCTATCAAAAAAAAAAAAAAAAAAAATGCCCCTAGTATACAACAGAAACCTGTTAAGCCTATCAATTTAAATTACAAGGTGAGGTATGATCTATTTGAAATACCTTCCCTGTTTTTGCATCAACTACAGTGGAGGTATGAAGACGAGGACGGGCTATGGCCCTAAGATAGTCACATTCCTGCAAAGGCCATGAAGTTATCAATTCAAACCCCAGTTAAACAGCATCAATTGGCAACGTAGCATTGCACAATAGATTTATAAGCTAGCAAATAAATTTCATCATTACTAATTATCAAACAGAAAAAGTTTGTAATGCATCTATAGTAGATACCAATACCCCTCTCACATTATAGGTGTTAGATGGGTTGACCGGAAAAAGAGTTTTCAATATCTTTGGTTAAAAGAATCTTCTTAGTATGTAATAGTTGGTTGAATACAATTTATTTAATTACTTTGAGCTGGTCAAAAGTTCTATAAAGTTGTGAAACCTTGGAAGTGCCCCTTGTTTTGTAGACAGCTTGAAGTGTACTCTTATGAAAATCTTTTTCCAGTTAATACAAATATTTTTTAAAAATTAAATAAAAGAAAAGATTGAAAATATGCTTTAGGAAAAATCTTCACATAAGAAGCCAAACTTTGTCCCACAATTCAGCTCCTTAGCAAATGGTAACAAAAAATATACAGTTGATTAAAAAAATCTCACAAATAATATTTTTTTGCAAACCAACTTCATTTTTTGGTGCACAACTAATAAATTTTGTAGTCAATAGTTTAATAAAATTTCAGAATTAATAATTATATAGAAAATTACATGAAACCATCGATAACTTTAAATAAAGCCTGATTGTAGAAAACACAAATTATTCTTTAACTAGAAAAAAAGAATACAGGAATGTGGAATAAGAACAGAGCAGTTCTGTGCTAGCTAATTCCAACGGTTTTTATGCACCTAATAAAAATAATATGATCACTGGTTCTACCACTCTATATTTACCAGAACATTAAGATATTCTTTCAGTTCTATTGGCATTAGGACCCATAATCTAGACCCTGTCCTGGTTAAATATACAGTTATGAGTCAGCAATATTAATGATATATAACAAAGTAAGAATACCTCCGTGCTCAAAAAGTTATGAAGTAATATAATTCTAGGTGACCAGCTAAGTACTTCAGGTTTGACCTACATCAACAAAAAGAAAAAAATATTAAACTTGGCCAATCAGTTTATAAACAAAGAAAAGGAAATGTTATAAGAACCATCTTAAGCAACAAACTTAGGAAAAAGCAATTCCACTATCATCCAGACAGTTGGATGCATATCAAGACCAGTACTTCTGCAAGTCGAACAAAATGAGAAAATACAAATAAAGCATTTGTTTGCTTGAGAGAAGGACTATACATGATACAGTTACAAGTACAGAATAAGACAAACAGAATATATACGAAGACAACCCAAACACCAAGTTCTCCCAAGCCCCAAGAAATAATATACAAAATAAGAGAAAAATACATTAGCAGGCTGAAAAACATGTTACCATGTTAATCACAGCACAATTAAAGCTTGCACTATCACTATCTCACACATTTTACCATGTTAATCACAACTGTGCATTATTATATTGCTGGCACCACAGGTGGAATATTAAATGAAACCATATTACAATCCCCAACTTTTTGACCAAAAAGGGTATATGCCACATGCATAATAATTTTCCTACAGAATCTAAGAAGGAATAATTAGTGTTTCTGATGAGATCCTGACCTGCAACTTATCAAATACACTACAATCTAGCTACAGTTCCAATCCCACTCACAATCAAAACAAGGAATCTCTATATTAATGGCAGCAAAACAGTACATCCGAAATATACTCACTCTGTTACAATATTCCCCAACTGAGAATCCAGCAAATAAGCTAAGCTAAGTAAAAGAAAGAAAACAAAATGATAATACTGACTTCGAGGGCCAGTCACCTCCCCTATCCATCCTTAATCAACTTTTTCAAATGCCTGTCCCTTTTCCCTTCTTCCCCTTTTATTCCCTCCTGGCACCTAAGTTTATTCCTAACAGAATTCCTCTCTCTCCAATCTCCATAGGCCACCTATCCCTTCATAACAAATTCTTCTAACCTCCTAAATGTCAATTATTCCCCTGCTTCTTACCCCACTTCTTCCTACGGTAATCCTTTCCCCTTGGTTGCTCATCAGTTTCTAACACCATTTCTCAATCCCATCAAGAACAGCTGAAACCAGCTAAGTTTACAATTTTAAATCATAATGGCCAGAGAGAGTTTTTATTATTCTTTACCCTTTTAGTTTTGTGTTTTCTTCCTTTACATAGAGCAACATTCCAAAAATTGTAAGAGTTAAGGTATGACAACTGGACAATGTGATGAAAAGGATGGTAAAAAACATACATATCCAAGACGTAAGAGTTCAGCTTCTTTGTCATTATTCCAAATTGGAACACCTGAGAAAGAAAAAGGAAAGTCAAAATTAAAAATCAAATTGTATAGAAGTGTATGGACCCAACACATCCAACAACAAATTCAATATCAAACGACTTAAGAGAAGCAACTAAAATATTGTAAACTTGGAAACATAACCATAATAAGTAATACCAAATATTCTGTGCACAAATATGTCACCAAAAGTTTGAAATTCAGTGCACAAATAACTGAAATCAAAATGAACTCAAGACAACCCAACCTACCTAAGAATGACTATGCTATAAAGTTCTGATATCTTACTCTGTTTGGATAAGATATTTCTTGGTTCTCTATTTTTTCCCTATTATTATGTTACTGAAAACTAGAAGCAAAAGAACAAGAATTGCCTAATTTTCCTCATTATATTCTTAATTTTTTTTTTCTCTTCCAAAGTTAGTCAACTGTTTTGTATTGTTGATATTGATGATGAACAATTAATATTAATAAGATAAACCCTTTTCAGTCAAAAACATGTCAGAATGTCTATACAAGACATAAGTGAGTGAGCCAACTTAGATTTGTTAAAGGTATTTTAAGTTTTGCTCTTGAGAGAGGGAAAAAGTAGATGGTGAAAGCATTAAGAAATCACTTATAGTTATTCGAATGTCTTATTTTCTTAATATTAATGTAATAGAACAGTAAAAGAAATTAGGACACCAAACCCAGTTCTTTCTTTTTTTTTTTGGGTAATAAAATTTCATTAGAAGAAAAGAAAGAAACCCAATTCATTGTCCACATAGGAAACAAATCCTATGAACACAAAATCTACCACGAAAGCACTAGAAAGCAATACTGACATAGGTATAAATATATCAACTTCGGCTAAAATCTGAGTTTCCTAGTGTAAAACTCAATTATGTAGAGAAATGTTTCATTGCATTTATATAATAGAAACTTTGACAGGGACCATATACCTCTGGGAAACTGAAGGTAGCCATCATTTTGACGTTTATGCACTCTTTTAAATGATGGAAACGCGGAGCCTATAAAGGATATGGTTCTTAAGTAATTCAACTAATATGAGCACAATAAGAAACAGATTATATCAGAGCACAGTAAAAGAGCCAAGAAAGCCAACATTGTCAAGCAATGTGTTTTCTTATAGGAAACTGACAGTAGATATAGCACACTGAAAACTAAAAATGTTAACCAACAATGCGACATCCCAAGGATAGATCAAAGCAGTATAAAATTGCTGAATATGAAGATGGAAGAATAACCATAATTTACAAACTATAATTACATCTCAAATGAATGCATCCTGTTCACAAATCTATGTTCTTAGAGAAGCTAGTCCAAGGCAAGACGAATAAGAAATGCCAAGTACATATATGACTAAAATGGCTAGCAAGCGAACAAGGTACTCAGGAGTAATATAAGCTAGGTCTAAATGCAAATTGTTTCACATACACAAATTGTATCTCACTTAACCATGAACAAGAGCAGCAATATGAGAGGTGAGATCACTACCTCAGCATAGATTCCTCTGTTAGGCAGATAAAAATATTCCCAGAAAAACAAACGGACTAAAGAGAAGGGAAAAAGATTACTTAAACATAACAAAATGAAACGGCTAAACAATGTACTCTTAACAACCAATAGTTGAAACATCAAATGATCCTTCTTTATTTTTTCCTTTTTTATTTTTGGGGTCTCTAGAGTACTGCAAATTCCAATAACAAAGAAAAGTCTGGAAATTTAGAGAAGAATAATTTTCTTTTTGGAAAAAGATTTGATGCATCTCAATGTCAGTCATTAAGATGTTTTAAAGTAATTCCTATATCTTAATAATATTTTTGAGAGAGTTTCATCTTAACTTAACAAGCAAAAAAAGAAGAAAAAAAATCCAAATCCAAAATGTTCCAGGCTGAGTCTATATATAGCCACAAAATGTGCCTCAGCTTGCATAAATATTCAAAATGACAATGCACTCATTGAGAATAGTGAGACAAAGAATAAATGTCTACTAGAGTTGGTCCAAAAATTGGCATTAAGTAAGAAAAAGAAATGAATGTATGTACAAGTTGCTTATCAATTCACTTAACAGTAGCTCACATGAAACGAAAGCAAGAATGAAATCACAAAAAGTATAAATCTTCCAACGAAAAACTGTTTCAAAACTTCGTTTGTAAAAGTTCATTTTTTTACGAATTAAAAAATGAAAAAAGAAACATAAAAAGGAGTAAACAGTCCCTTCCATTATATTACAATCTAATTTCAGTTCTCTTATGTTTGCCGTATACATTGATGATCTCCACAAACAATATAATAAACCATTTATTTCGACAATCAAACTATTTCAAACATTAAAAAAAGTCACTCAGCCATAACAAGAAGCTTAAATTGAAAACAAACAAAAAAAAAAAAAAAAAAAAAACTGTTAAAATCATTTTCTAAGTGGACTCCAAATACATGTTTTTAGAATAAACAAATTACCGTATGAATCTTCAAGCTTTCTTATAAACGCTAATTGAAACAAAGCGCCTGAAAGAGTCAAGATCAGAATCAGATTTAGAAAGAAAACGTAAAAAGAAAAAGAAAAAATGAGAGAGAAATTGTTGAAAAGAGAACAGATAGATCTTCAGAAGTTACCGATAATCATGCCGAAAGTGACGAATGTAAGGAGTCCGAACACGATTTTCATGGTGGAAGCCATGGATTTGCCGTCGACTCCTCGACTGTACGATACGATTATGCAATTGACAACACAGGCAGGAGGAGTACGTTTTATTTTTTCTCTATTGGTCAAATTTTTGAGCTGTTTAAAGTGTAAACTGAACTCTAAAACGAGTTAATATAATTTTTAGTCAAAGTGTGCTATGTATATAACCAAATATTTTTATATTAAATTGATTTAACTTGTGATGTGAGCGAACAAGGTGCTCAGATCAGAAATGCCACGTACATCCTGTTAACATACGATTATAGTCAAAGTGTATTTTTACCGGTTTTTTTTTTTCATCCAAAACTTTAAAATTGGACATTAATATTGGTTTTGGTACGTAACCAAATGATGAGTAATATTATATATACATTATTTTTATATAATATTTTTTATACAACATTATATGATAAGATATGATTAGCTAATTTAAAGTTAAAATTAAACTTTCATTTAATATTATATGAGAAATATTATATGATAATGATGTATGTGTAGTATTATTTTTTATGTTAAATTGATTTAACTAAGTCTTTTAACAGTTAAAAAACCCTTCTTTTATACTAGAAATAAATGATGAGTTTCATCCATCAACAGATAAATTTTATCTTAAATAGATAAAGGTTACATTTTCATAAAATATTTAACATATAAATATATTAGAGATTACTATAAATTTTGTATGGATAAATCTATGATTTTTTACATTTATTAATTTTATATAATATTCTTTATCTTTTAAGACTTTTATGGATAAATATATAAAGTAATTTTTGTTGGGCTTCATACTTTGCTTGTTCGGTGGGTTATGTATTTAATTTCCATTTCTTTTTTCTTTTTCTACTTTTTCGATAAATAAATAAAAAACAAATTGTTTATTTGAGTGCCATTTATAAACTTTAAAATTAAAAATAAATATTGTTTTTATATATGTATAACCAAATATGTTTATATTAAGTTGATTTTACCATTGATACTTTTATGTATTATTATTTTAAAAACAAAGTAATTTTTATTAAAACTATTTAAAACAAAATATGGAATCAAAAGATCAATAGATAAATGATATACAGTATATCTTAAATAAATAGATAAAGATATTTTCACAAAATATTTAACATAAAAATATATTAGGGATCATTATAATTTTATATGAATAAATGGATAAATTTTTTACCTTTATTAGTTTTGAATAACATTCTTTATTTTACTATAGCCCAAGTTGACCCTTTGAAGAAAATATTTGGTTTCGTCTTGCACCGAAGCAATATATTTCAAGAGAAACCTAACAAACTTATGAAATAAGGTTGAAAAAGTATCTTCAAGAGATTATCGAGCACATTTTTATGAATTGTTGATTACAACATATTTTGTAAGTATTATGAAACATGACGAATCTCATTTTAATTACAACACTACAAAGTTCCAACATTTCAAACAAAATCCAATAAAATTATGAAATTGTTATGCTTGATGTGTTTTTTGAGTGTTGTTGAGCGACCATCGAGCCATTGATGCATTGTTGATAACAATTCTAGCGCAATTAAATACATTAGAGAACGACATATCTGAGCTATCGTAATAGACAAAGGAATGGAACCCTGACCCATCCCGCCTACCAAGCTTGTCAGAGTGGAACTCGATTTGAACTTGGGAACATTGTCAAGACTGAATGAGCTCCCTTCCATTAGGCCAAACCCAGAACGGCACCACTTCTTTTTTTTTTTAATAAAACAAAAATAATTTCTTTTGTAAGTCCAAGTATAGTTACTTAATTTGGGACAGCTCCATCAATACCCAAAAACAAAAGTACAGAAAATAAAGATCCAAAGCTCATCTTAGATTTTTTTTTAATTGTTATTTGAATCACACTAAAATGATGATTAAGTCTCATTTAATTTAATTTAATTTTAGTTGTATTTTTATCGTCATTGAAATTACTTAAAACACCCTCAAATATATTTAAATTTTCTTTCATAAACCCATTTCCATCCAAAATAATTATAAACTATTGTAAGTATGTAATATTTCAACTTGAAAATTGCTTTTATATGGTTGCTATTTTTCTAAAAGAAAAAAGAAGAGAAAAGTAAAGAAAAGGAGGGTAAAGGGAGAAATAACCATTATGGTTTTAATAAAATTTCAAAAAAAGGTGAAAAATGCTCTTCTTAAAAAGTTGAAATACCAAAAAGACCCCTGTGTCAATTAACTTTAACGGATAAAGTTAATGGAAATAGGAGTTAGGTTCCCATTTCCCAAATCTTTCGTTGATTTTGTAGAATCGTCGTAGATAAGGGGGGTTTCTCCGTGGGTACATATGGTCATGCTAATCTTGCTTTTTCTATTGGTGAGAATAAAGTAAAATGAGATTTGGAGAAAGTTAAAATATAATGAGATATTGGAGAAAATTAAAAATTCTGAAAATAACCCATCATATTTGAAAAATTCAATAATAAAAAAACAAATTGAAAATGTTTCGACAATAGTGAAACGGTAGAAATACACAAATCTTTCTCTTTTATATTGATAGTAGAAATTTTTCTTTGATATTAAGAACATTTCCAAATGACTTTTTATATGACTAAACTTTTTATTATAAAGAGTCTATCCATAAAAATAAGAGTCCAACATACTTTTTATTTTTAAAATATAACTTAGAGAGTGAGTTTGACTCTCTATATTTAGAGAGTCAAATTTCACTTTCTATCATAATTTTAATTTATAAACTGTAAGTTCTTATGCATTTAATTGATTAATTCTCTTTCCCATTAAGTCTCTTTCTTAAAAATAAAGAGTATCTTTATTAAAAAATAAAGAGCATCTTCATTAAATTTAAACGGTCTATTGAATTTGAATAAAAATTGTATTCTTTATTTAAAAATTAATGAAGATGCTTTTTATTTATATGAAAAATGCTCTTCAAAATAAAGAGCACCATTGGAAATGCTAGTAGATATATCTTAGATTTTTGTGACAGAAATTCACTATCTTTCTCTTTTATATTAATAGTAGAAATTTCTCTTTTATATCAATAATAAATATTTCTTGTATTTTTAAGTTATTGAACTATGATTGTTGATGTATAGTTTAAATATAAAAGCATCTAACTCTCATTGACAAAATAAGATGTTTTGTTGAAAATTATACTAAATTAATAAATACCAAGGGAAATTGAATAATTTCTAATTTATAATATTAAATGAAAGTGAATAATTGATTTTCAAAAAAAAAAAAAAAAAATCCCTCCAAAATATGTTATTTACACTAAATTCCCCTAATTAATTTATTAATTTTTGAAACACCCGGAATCCAAAGCAAGAAAATATACAAAACAAAGACAATGCAGCGCGTTGGGATATGTTCATTGTATTCTTTTGCTTTACTTTCATCATTAGCTTCATTTACTCCCAAGATCACACGGCTGTTCTCGCTATCGACGTCGTCAATGGAGGCAGCGAACTCACAGTCACCGCGGCCGCCGGTGGCCAAGAAGGTAGAACACGCGATGGAGATGTTCGGTGACGTCCGAGTCGACAACTACTACTGGCTCCGTGACGACTCTCGCTCCGATCCCGACGTCCTTTCCCACCTCAAGCTCGAAAACTCCTACACTGAGTCGCTCATGTCCGGTATATCACGTGCTCTATATTTTCAACATTCTGTTGTTTAATCCCACACGTGCACTATTTCTGCTCGTAAATATGCTTGACCCACCCATTTGATACTTCGGTTTAAAATTTAAATTTGGACAAAATTATTTGTTTTTATTATATTTTATACTCAATTAAGTGTGATTTAAGGGTTTTGTGTTAGAATTATGACGGTACGTGAAATGAAATCCAATTGTTATGATTTGAATAATGTTGTTCTTAAGAAAAGGGGTAGATTCTTTTTTTCTTTTTTAGGTATTTAGTAGAATAATTTTGATTTTTTTTTTTGGGAATTCCGTATTTCAAATTCATATTAAAGCATTTTTGAGTTTAACAATTCTTTCTTCAGGAAGGAATTTTGTGTTCTTGAGATATTTTTATTTCAAAGTTGCAAACTCTATTACATATAATGAGGACAATTCCTCTTAGCCTATTCTCCATGATATCAGAAAATTATCCGTATGAAAATCCATGTTGTAATTTTTTAACTTTGGTTATTTTAGTATTGTCATGTTACTAGATCATTATTGATGTTTCATGTTATCAACTATCGATATTGCAATTTGGACCTTCAATTTTGTGGTATCAGCCTCCTCAGCTGTTGAGAACATTTTTTTTTTTTTTTTTTCTTGTAAATATAAATTCTGGATTTGTAAAACAAATGGTAGCCGACAACACTTGGAATGCCCCGACAATTTATGTGTTGCGAAACATAAAACAATCGAGGGGATATTTTTGTAGTGGGCTACATCATAAGAGTTTAATATAAATTGGTAACCTTTTCTTTTGAGATGGTTTATGATTGATGAAATGTATGAAACTCTTTTAGGAACAAAAAAGTTTGAGGATGAGTTATTTGCTGAGATAAGAGGAAGAATCAAGGAGGATGATATATCTGCACCAGTTCGTAAAGGGCAGTATTACTATTATCAAAGAACTTTAGAGGGGAAGGAGTATGTTCAGCACTGTAGGCGACTCATCCCTAACAGTGAGATTCCACCCTCTGTGTATGATACTATGCCAACAGGACCTGATGCTCCTCCTGAGCATGTTATATTGGATGAGAATTTTAAGGCTGAAAATCACGCTTATTACAGCATTGGTGCTTTCAAGGTTGAGAAAAGTTTTTGTGAATGTGTTTGCTGTATCTAGCTTTTCTGTTTCTTAAAATTTTTATTTGGTTTAGGTTAGTCCAAATAATAAGTTGGTGGCGTACACTGAAGACACTAAAGGAGATGAAATTTATACTGTTTATGTCATTGATATAGAGACTGGTGCTCCTGTGGGGAAGCCTCTAGTCGGCATAACTTCAGAACTTGAATGGGCTGGTGATGAAGCTTTAGTTTACATCACAATGGATGAGATCCTTCGGCCTGATAAGGTATATGATTATTCTGGTTTATGTCCTGTATATGAAAATTAATTTCCTTCATATGCTTCTCCTTTCACATAAAAAGATAAAAAGAAAAAGAAGAAGAAACAA